TTTTTTATGAGAGTATAACATTATAACATGATATAAAACTCAAAAAAGTTGATTTTACATGATATCGCCCCTTTAACAGACAATCAACTTTTTTTTAACTTACCTGTAAATGTGATGCTTGGTTTCAGGAGACATCTGCCAGCAATTCACCAAAGAAGTGTTCAACATGTACAAGGGCTTTGCCTGCTTCAAAAACTGGGACTTTAACGTTGTGAACTACACGCCTGCAGAGTACGGTATGATCCAAACCAGCTGTGAGTTCATCAGAGCCCTGACAGATGTGGGAACTACTCGTGTGCACTAACGCCCCCCCTCCCTCTCTCAGGGGGACTGCAACATGCTTCAGTCAGGATATCCGGGGAGAGTGTGTACAGACACCTGAAGCACGAAGGAGGGACTCACCGGGTGCAGAGGATCCCAGAGGTGGGCCTCTCCTCCAGGAAGCAAATGATCCACACAGGAACCATGACCGTCGTCATCCTGCCGCAGCCAAGAGAGGTGATCCGGTCTCTCCTCGTCGCCTCGTTCTCCTCCACCCCTCTCTGCTGGTTATTACATGAAACTGTCCGTTTCTGCTCACAGTTAGATGTCCACATCGAGGCCAAAGACCTGCGAATCGACACGTTCAGATCCCGAGGCGCCGGCGGGCAAAGCGTCAACACGACGGACAGCGCGGTGCGGATAGTTCATCTTCCCACCGGTACAACCAACCAGAATGTGTGTTTTTTTTCCCCTCCTTGCTGCCATCTGTTTGTATTACTATTTACTGTCAACAGGAGTGATAGCTGAGTGCCAGCAGAGTCGCTCGCAGCTGAAGAACAGAGAAACGGCCATGCACGTGCTGAGAGCCAGACTCTACAAGAGCATGGCGGTTAAAGAGATCGAGCAGAGGATCACGGCACGGAAGCAGCAGGTGAGGGATCGGCTGCCTGAAAGGTGCACATGTTTCTGAGCCGGAGGGCTTCCACTCATGTCTCTGAACACAGGTGGGCACGGGGCATCAGTCGGAGAGGATCCGAACCTACACCTTCAACCAGGATCGAGTCTCCGATCACCGCATCGGATACGTCGTCAGAGACATTAAGGTTGGACCCGTAGGACAGACATTTCTTCTGGTTCTGCTTTATGTGCTCTCATGTGCTGTGCTCTGTGCTCAGGAGTTCATGAGAGGAGGCCAGGCTCTGCAGGATCTGATCCTGGATTTGCTGGAACACTTTGAGCGTGAGGCGCTGCTGCAGCTGGTGGAGAGCAGCGTCRCTTTTACTCCATCAGAGATGAGCAAGACTTCAGACTGACCCTCACCACTGCTCCGACTGAAAGCACGCTCCACATTATGCTGCTGCACACAGCAGATACCGTAATATACGTGTTATAATATTATTA